GGATAGAGTGATAGACCAGGATGCAGGACTAGGCTCAGTTCCATGCTTGGCTATGGAAACCCATGGAGCAGGGGGTGGGACTAGTAGAAGCGCTCCTTAAATATCTCATTTACCTTGAAAGCCCTATCACGGGCACTATACTGTATGTTGGTTCCGACTTGATGGCACAGAACACACAGTTATTGCAATTATGACATTGTGGATTTGAAACAATTCTGTTTCTGTAGCCCCCCCAAAAAGGTCCCTGCCTCTGGATCCCTCCCTCACAAAGAAATATCAACAAAGAAAGGTGTATCACTGCTCTTGAAATTCGTGGGAGACCCAGCTTTTAAATAGGCCACAAGGGCCTTCTACCATTTAGCAATTAAAAGTAATGGGTTTTTTTTACAAAAACCAGAGATCCATAGGGCAATTGTTTTTTGTTTTTGTTTTTTTGAGGGCAAGTTTGAGTCAGAAAAGAAGGGGAGATGGTGGCGCTGCGGGTTAAACTGCAGAAACCTCTGTGCTGCAAGGTCAGAAGATCAACAGTCGTAAAATCGAATCCACGCGACGGAGTGAGCTCCTGTCGCTTGTCCCAGCTCCTGCTAATTTATCAGTTCAAAAGCATTCAAATGCAAGTAGATAAATAGGGACCACCACGGTGGGAAGGTAACAGCGTTCCGTGTCTAAGTCGCACTGGCCATGTGATCACGGAAACTCTCTATGGAGAAATGCCGGCTCTATGGCTTGGAAATGGGGATGAGCACCACACCCTAGTTGGACACGACTGGGCTAAATGTCAAGGGGAAACTTTACCTTTTTACCTAGAGTCAGAAAAAACAAACCCACCCAAGACCTAAGTCCTCCAGGCCTGGTTTAAAGAAAAAACAGAAGGAGTATAAAATATCTAAAGTGATACTTTTTGAGACTAGGGTCCTGGGCAAATTATGTGATACAGATCCTTAAAGCAATGCCTAAAGAGCTCAGAAAGACCACCTGCGGTGCTGTGCTCCTCAGATTTATCACCTGAAGCCATTGTCTAACTTTGTGTTGTGCTGCAGGATGACCTGGCATGGGAAAAACCCTCAATGGCATAAAAACATTTAGGATTGCACAGAAGGGATGCTGCTTAGTGGTAGAGCACATACTTTCCCTAAGAAAAATTCCAGAATTCCTGACAACTGTAGATAGGTCTGGGAAAGACAATATAGGCAACAAATCATTAGGAATTGGATTTGGGAGCTCACTGTGTTTCTTGATACACAAACATTTTAAGACTCGTAATTATAATGGCAAAAATATACAAAGTCTTATAAAAGATTAATACCTCCAAATTAAAATACTTATTTTTTGATGCACACCTTTTACAATGCACCATTTATGGAACATGTCTAGTTTTTTAATTTGGTGGACATTCAGAAGAATGGAGTTCTGGAATAGGAATGTTACTTTGAAGAGTAATTAGTTACAGTGATGATCCCAAGCCCCCCAATAGTCAGTTGCATTACAGTTATGCCTTTTTTTTAAAGGCAACTCTATTTTCCCATCTTTTCAAAAGTTGTCCTTTGTTCCAACCCTGAACATGGCCGGGCTGGAGCATAAGGTACACTCTCCTTCTGTCCAGCTCATCTTCATCTTAACATCTAACTCTGGAACATGAGCCAGCGCCTCAAACATGTAACATTTATTTTCTACCGTTTAATGAGGTTGCACCACAGTAACTACAGAAGTAACTAAAATCTTACATCTACATAAGAAAAATGATAAAGCTATCCCTACTTAAGTTTCAAATGTAATACAGCAACATATTTGATGTCCTCTCTGAAAAAGTCTCTGTTAGGAAGCAGCACAATTATTGTCACAAGAAAAAACAATCCCCATTCAATTCATGTCCATTTCATACCTACAATAAAGAAAACTGGCTCAAGTGTGCACAACAGTTTATATCACAATAAAATGCATTGTGTTTATGGTATCATAGAATTCTTCACTGCTATAAGAGAACTCCTATGGCCGCATTTCTGTTACCCTCTAAGCAGCACAATTATTGTCACAAGAAAAAACAATCCCCATTCAATTCATGTCCATTTCATACCTACAATAAAGAAAACTGGCTCAAGTGTGCACAACAGTTTATATCACAATAAAATGCATTGTGTTTATGGTATCATAGAATTCTTCACTGCTATAAGAGAACTCCTATGGCCGCATTTCTGTTACCCTCTATCTTCTCTTACCAGTAAATAATATAAAAGTGCTCTGTTTTAAATACTGATTTTTTAATGTAGGTAGAAAGACAAGAGATGGTTTTTAATATGGCTGAATTGATCTGATTCATTTTACTGAGTACTGTATCTAAATTTGAGCAAACTACATTTCTTTTTAGAGTGTATCTGAATGTTAGCCATCTACATCAGGCAACCTAAACTAATGCAAATAGTGCTGATAATAATTTAGCAAATACAAGGAAAACAAAGGAGACTTTCTGCTACTAGCCCTGCCACTTTAAGTAAGTTTGAAGCCAACAGGAGCTGTATAGCTGGTTTAATTACCAACTGCTCACAGAAACCTTAAATATGTATATGTTTGACTTTTTGAAGGCTGAAAACTCCCCTCTCCTACCAGTGCCTTTTCCTTAAATGAATGCCAGGGCGCCTACCGTAAAAAAATAAAAATAAATCTTATTTAAAACTTCAGAGTTTCCACAGCAGACGAACTGCTCTCCAGCCCTTTGAATGCTACCTTTCCTCAGAAGCCTCAGTAGGTACGCAAAGCACAGATTAAATCAAGGCGAGTAAAAACCTTCGTTTTCTTGAGAAAGGGGGGGGAATGGAAGGGACGGACGTTACTCCCCAAATGCAGCGTCTTCTAAAGGTACATGTACATGATATCACTAACGGGACTTTGCTACATTCAGGAGACTCTGCCGCTGCCGCCCCCTTTTTAAAAATAGGCACCTTTGAACAATATTCCTGAACTTTAATGGGCGTGTGAACGCTTGTAGTTTATATTAACTCCGGGTTGAGTTTGCCTTCTTCCACTGTTTTTTTCCCCAGGACACTGACCTAGCCTTTAATTGTTTGGTGATAGGCATGTAAGGGGGAGGGGCGTTACTTGTTTATTGGAACAGCACAGTTAAAAAAAAAATCAACCCAGGCGAACAGTTTCTAGTCCCCCCTAAGGATGTATCCAAACAGGCATCCAATCAGCGCTTACACAGCTTTTTCAGCTTGTCTTTTTTAAAGGGACAGTAGCGAGCGGGTTATATCACATTTAAAGAGAAAGGCACCCCCCAGGAAAAAAAAACCCGGTGGTGGCGAGAAAGGGGAGAAGGAAGCAAGGAGCAGCTTCCCCCTCGCAGTTTCTCGAAAGGTGGTTCGCCCAACTTTAAGCTGAAGGAAAGAAGTGACCCGCAAATAGGGGTCGTCAGTTCTTAGGGAGGAATGGGGAGGAGGTAATCGTCGGTGGAGAGAAATAAAAAAAAGGAGTTTTTCCTCGGTCCCCTTGTCAATTTCACCTTTGCTCTGGTCCAGTTGAATGATTACATTGGTAAAAGCCGAAACGCTGCTACCCGGCCCACCAGTAGTCTGAAATTTCTATTGCATATTTATCTTAAAAATAATAATACTGGAGGGGGATGGGGAGGAAGGTTTCCCTTTTGAGCCGGGCATCGTGTTAACGCGATCCTGACGGCGGGGAAGCACGTTTCCTTTCCTATAAAGGCAGCCTCGCTTTGCAAGGCCGGGAGGCGACGTGGCCCTCCCCTTCCCGCAGGAGAAGCAAAAATAGCTGGAAGAGGACGAGGCGAGCTGGGCGGCCCGGCCGGGAAGGGAGGACGCGGGAAGGCGCGCAGGGGGGGGGGGAGAACGGAGATGGAGAAGGCGCCTTAAGAGCACGCTCCTTCTCGTTCTCAGTTGGAATTCAGGGCCACGGAAGTGAGTGCGAATTAATTCCCTATGAAGGCTACTTAGGCGCGGGCTGTAAACCGAGGTATAGCAACCCGGAGGCTCGGTGTTCAAATACTCACGGCCAGAGATTAGGTTCCCCCCCCTTTCCATAGAAACACTTGGGCTGCAGCCCTATCCGCGCCCGCTTCCTTGGGAGTAAACCCCTCAGAACAAAGCGGGGATTACTTCCGAGGAAGCAAGCCGCGCAGAATGGGGCTGAGCCCGCTCACTTTATGCGGCGATCCCGCCGAGCCGCTCGCAGAACACCAACCCGCACACATAATGCGCACGCCAGCCGCGGGTAGCGTTCGGGCGTTTAGGGGCTTGAGGATCGCACCTGCAGCCTGGGAAGCCAAGGTGGAAGGTAACGGGGGGGGGGAAAGAAAAGGCGGAGGATCCCCGGTAGCTGCCGGCGCAGAGGATGGAGGGACCCGAAATCAAGGGGCCCCGAACAGGGCTAGAAGGAAGGGCCGAGGAAGGAAAGGCAGCAGGCAGGCAGGGTGGAGGTAGCCACGGGAAGAAAAGGGGGCATAAGGGGAATGAATGGCTGGGCGAGGGGAGCCGCGCGGCTGCGGCTGCTGCTGGCGCGTGAGAATGGCACACGGGCGAGAAGGCAGAGCGTCGCTCGGCTTGAAAGCAGCGAGGCGTACAGGGGAGAGGTGAATGGCGAGGGAGGGAGCGGGAGGGAGGGGGGCTGGGATTAGGGGAGGGTACCTGGGTTGAGGAGGGAGCCGGGTAAGGTCCCAGCTCAGCCCCTAGGCAGACAGGAGCACAAGAGAGGAGGAGCTCCCCAACTCCTCGTCCCCTCCCGCCCGCCTTCGCTTTCGCCGCCGCCTCCTCCTCCCAGCCGGGGGACCCTTTAGGAAGCCGCCGGCGCAGGCTTCTCTTCGCTCCGTACCAGCCGGCTGCATCTCCCTCGCTGCCACCTTAAACGCGCTCTTCAAGGGCGGAGCAGCCCTTCCCCCCCGCCAGCCGCCGATTGGCCAGGGAATGTATCCATTGTGGAACGTTGACGCCCGCCGCGTTCTATCCCGAGTGTAGCCACGTTCGGTTGAGCCGGGGCAGCCGCGGTGGCGGCAGCAGAAGCAGAAGGGAGAGCCGGAGCCGGAGCGGCAGCAACAGCAGCAGCAGCAGCAGCTGGGAAGGAAGCGAGAGCCGAGGACCGGAGCAGGGCGATGGGGTCAAGGCCGGGGCTGGGGCTTTGACAGCGAGGAGCGGGCCAAGTGGTGCAGCGGTCGCGGAGCCAGCTGGAAGCTCCAGCTGGGGGAAGGAGCGAAGGTTGGGAGACGGAAGAGCGGCGAAGAAATCCAGGCGGCGGCGGCTTCAGTTTCGCCCGTTTCCTCCCGCGGACCATGTTCGCCAAAGGCAAAGGCTCGGCGGTGCCCTCGGATGGGCAGGCTCGGGAAAAGTAAGCGCCGAGGCGGCGGCCGACGGGGGACTCCGGAGAGCTGGGCATGGTTTCCTCAGGCAGGCGTTTGCCTCGTCCCTTTATTGTCTCGAGGGGATCCGGAGGGGGACGAGCGGGGAGGTTGTGATCCAGTGGGGCGAAGAAGGAGGAAGGCAGGGGAGAGAGAGGAGGACCCGCCGCCGCCGGCGGGTTTTGGGGGCTTGCTGGTTCAAGGAACGGAGCGGGGAAGCGAAGGCTGGCGGGTGGGAAAGCATGATGGAGGAACGCGTGCGGGCTTGTGCCGCCGCGTCCTTTTGTCTGGAGTGTCTGTCCGTCTGGGCGCGGGGTGAAGGGCTTTGTCCAGGCGAGGAGCGACGGCGGCGGCGCTTCCGCCTCTTCTCTCCCCCCCCTCCTCCTCCCTCCCGCTTCGGGAGTTTGCAAGTTTGACAAAACCGGAGGGTCGAGTAGAAGCAGAGTTCTTGTGGGGCGGAGTGGAGGTGGCGGCGGCGGGCGGGAAGGGGGGCGGACAACTTGTCTGCGATCGACCTTGCACCCCCCCCCAAATCTGCCCCGTTGCGGATGGTCGAGGAAGACCCCGCCGCGACCCCCTCTTTTCGGAGTTGTTGGCAGAAAGCTTGGGCGCAGGGGTCGCGGAGGGGGCCGGTGCTGTGTTGGCTGCTTTTGCCGAAAAAAAGGTGGGGGGGGGAGAAGAGATGTGGCTGCAGAAGTTGCGTTTTGTTGTTCCCTCGAGCTCCTGTGAACTTCTCTCCGGGGTGGGTGGGTGTATGCGGGGGACGACGACTCGTCTCTGTGCCCTGGGAGGCAGGAAGGAAGTGAGATCTCTTCCCTGGCCCGCGTTTAACCTGGGTTCAGGCTCGCTTGTGAAAGGGATGCTTACCGGGGAAGTGGGGCAGTTCCAGCAAGTCCTGTTTCTGCCCGGTGGCCTCCTGCTCCCTTTCTGTCTTACCACTTTTCCTCCTCTAGTCTCTCCTTTTTTTTTTCTTCCAGGTTAGCTTTGTACGTATATGAATATTTGCTGCATGTAGGAGCACAGAAATCAGCACAGACATTTTTGTCAGAGGTGAGTGACTTTGTTTACTTTTGACCCCTTTTCCTCACCCCCTCCTTGTTTCAGATAGCCTTTGTTTTCAGAAACAGCCACTGTGGCCTCCATTTTGAATTTTTTATCACCTTTTGCCATTTATTGCTAGTTGACCACAGAGGGTTTTTTGGGGAAGAGGGAGGTGTGTGGTGGGGTAACTAAGTGGCAGGAGTGGAGGGGGAAGCCTCTTCCTGGTGTCTAATCTAACCTATTCGTATGCTTTGCCATTTGCAGATCCGATGGGAAAAAAATATCACACTAGGAGAACCTCCTGGGTTTTTACATTCATGGTGGTGGTAAGTGTGTTGCTTTTTCATCTCCTTCCAAATAGAAACTTCTGTGCCCGACTCACTGGAAGGTGGGGGGGGAAATGTCCCAGGCAAAAGTTGGGGCTTGATTGTCAGTTTCTCTTGTGTTACCAAATAGACACAGTTGGCAGTGCAAGTTTGCCTTTTCATTCTAGTTAGGATTTAGTTGGTGAAGTCTTGAGGAAGAAGTATTGATGAAAGTTGGGAGCTCACTTGTGTGGCTTTTTATTTTGTTTTTAGAAATGTTTCAGACCTCCAAAGTAGATGCTTTTTGCTCTCTTTTTACTGTCCAGTTCAGTAACACAGGGGAGTCCTTAAGGAGGGTGATTCAGGGCACTTAGGGTCTCAGCAGGGTTAGGTGTTGTTTTTAAAGTGTGGAGAAAAAGATACTTCAGACACACAATAGATCTGAAGTGCCTCCCTCCTTTTGTATGCTCTTTAGGTTCCAGTCTGTGAATGTTTGACAGACTAAGTCAGGGAATGATATTTTGTAGAAATGTCACTGTCGTTTGGAGCATTTCTGGGGAATAATATTATTTGTCTTCTGGATGGTTTTGCGGTTTCATTTAGATATTTTAAAAGTTGGCCACTTTCCTTAACCTTGCTGATAGGCTGCTATTAGTGGTACTTGTGAGGGATCCTGTTTTTGTGAACATGTGCTTCTGATATAATGTAGTGCACAGGTTGACTATGAGTAAAGTAGTTGTAGTTGTACAGTTGGTAACGTGATCAACTGGATAACAGAACAGTTGTTGTGTGTCATCATAAGTTTGTTCTTGTTGAACATGACATTTTTTAAATGATGTGCAAAATGCAGGCTCAGGACCTAAGGAGCTTGCCTAGGCTATGAGGGAGAATTGATGCACTTGTGTTGCTTAGATAGGCAGATAATTTTCTGATTAGACTTATAGGTTGAACAGCAATTTACACAGTGAGACTTGGGACTACTGTACATTATTCCGAATGTATAGATTAGGAAAGTTCAGTGAGGAATCCTTCTCTTCTTCTGGTGCATACCAGAGCTGTTGTTTGCCACAAGGGTTTTTGAGGGCCAGTCTCTGTCAGTTGCCACAACTCAGTTCTGCTTGGATTGTTTTCCAATCTCTTGCATACTTGGGTTCTTTCAAGCAGTTGCTACAAGCCAGAACTTTGATTTGGGAAGAAAATAATGTATCACTACCTGAAGACTTTCATACTTGGAAAAACTTCATCAGTGTCACACAGGAGCACTTTGTGTATGTCCCCACCATTACTGCTCCTTGTGTTTTTTGAATGCCTGGTACCTCCATTCTTTTCCCAAGGAACTCATAATTCTCTTTCTCTTCCGTTTATCCTTACAACAACCTGTGAGGTAGATCAAGCTGGACCATAGCAAGTGGCTTGAGGTCTCCCAATGAACTTTATAAGTGAACAAGGATTTAGATTCAAATCTCTGGGTGACTGGTCACTTCTAACCACATGGCAATAGGTCAGAGTTTACATAAATGACCATTCTTATGCAGAGTGTGCAGTGAATTTTTATTAATCAAGGGTTCTTCCATTATTGTATACATGGAATGTTCAAGAGAGAAGATGGAATCAATGTATTGACAGTATGACATTTAATGTCAAACCAAAACAGGTCTAATGGATTACACTCTGGTTTTAGGAGATAGCTGTTACATGACATTGGATGTGTTCAAGCTTAATAGGAGCAGTGCAACAACTTGAGCTGGACATACTGGGTTCAAGTAAGAGGTTGATTTAAAGCACCATAGAGCATGTAGTAGTTGTAGGAGGTCTAAGCATACAGTGCTGTTTTATCATGGAAGTACAATCAGTACGGTTAAACTGACATGGTGGACATAACTTCTGAATGTTTCGCCATGCCAGAGTTTGACTACTGATTTTGCTTCTGTGCTCAAACTATTTTTATAATGGCTGAAATCTTGTTCTCTAAGTTTTACCATATAAGGGTGATGATGTCATCAGTCTTATCTGGCATAGCTACATGAACAGGATTCCAGCCATTGAAGGTCTGCATTACTAAATACATATCTTGGTTATTTTTAGTTAGGTATTATTGGGGAAGATCTGGAGTGGAACAAAGGTGATATATTTTAACCCAAAGTGGAATAAAAGTGAGGAGTACTCCTTGTCACTGATCTGTTTATTGTTTATTTAAAATATTTATATGCTGCCTTTCTTCTAAGGATGAGTTGCCTAGACCTGTATTATAGCAAGCTGCTGCATGTTTTTTTTATGTGTCATACAAATAATAGTAATTGGTTTCTTTTCTCCTCTTGTTATATAGTGTATTTTGGGACCTTTACTGTGCAGCTCCTGAAAGGCGAGATACTTGTGAACATTCAAGTGAAGCAAAAGCCTTTCATGATTATGTGAGTAATACTTTTAAAAAATCTCCTTAATGCTCAAGTTGTTGTTACTAAGTCATACTAAAGCATGAGTGTAGCTAAGTAGAGAGAGAAGGTATCACCATTGCTACACTGATTTGGTTGAATAATAGTAAATCAAAGTTATGTGAATCTAGTTCAGAGACTTACCTTGAATACTGTAAGGTGGTGTGTATTGATCTGGTTACATAGTCATGTATCTTTCTAGTGGCATGCAGGATAAGGCGGGTGAGGGAGAACCTATGGGTGATATTTATCATGCTGAAATCCCATTTGCAAACTTTCTGACATAAGTGGATGTTTTTGAATATGGAATACTTTCCAGCAGAATACAATTTCAAAAGAACTCTGAAGTATGTACTGTATATACCAACATTTGTTAGAATGTTGCTCTGTAGTACAATCCTGTGCATGTGTACATAGATGTAATTACGATTGTGTTCACTGGGGCTTATGTGCAGGTAAGTGTGTGGCATATTGCAACCTTAGAAAGCCAAAAGGTTGGGTTTACGGTGTCAGTGCAAAGGTTGTTCCTTAAGAGCGCAGTGCAAACTTGGTTGATTTCTTTAATGTTTAATAGGATGGGAGGAGCTACAAAGTGGAGGGAAGTTATTTTCAAGGAGCTTTGGTGGTCCTTGTAATTGATGGTTTGAGGGTTAGAATTTTCTTTCTTTCCTTCCTTACTTTCTTGCTACTTGTTGTTTGGGGTCCAGAGCTAAAATATCATGGGGTATTTGATAGCCAGTGTCTGGAGTCTCCCTCCTTACATAGAACAAAATGCTTTTCAGAAAAACTATTGAATTGCAAGCCCCAAGGATCATAATACTAGCTTTTTTTCCAGCGACCCTATCCTGTTAGAGGAGACATTGCCCCAAGCTAACTGTACTGTCATGCTCTGGGTAAACTTTGACTTGTCCGTGTCTTCTGATGTGTAGATTGTAGCTTGCTTATGATGGCACTGTACTGATTCCCAGGAGCATGTAGATTTTGATCCTTTGTAAAAGGAAAGGTGTATTGTCCTTAAAAAAAAAAGGAAAGGTGTTGTAAAAGACTTGCTAATATGAATCGCTTGTACACGCGCTTGTGTTCGATTTTGACTTTCACAGCTTTTCTGTGTTTAAGCAAACTGTAGGGTCTTTCCTGAGCTGACCGCAAAATGAGGCTCAAAATTATGGACAGAGCAAGAGGTTGAGGGGTGTGAGGTAGGAAAGAAAGGAGTGTCATTGGCTTCTGTCAGTTGGCTTCCTAATTCTTAAGGTAAGACATAGATGCTGGCTGCTCCTTTCTAACCTTGCAGCTTTCTGGTAACTCCTTGTTGCCTCAATCACTTCATTCAAAAAGCCATGCACAGCTTGGGATCCACGTAGCTACTGATACCCTTTCTACCAGTATAAGTCCCTGTTATCCAGGGTTATGCTTTAAAAAGTGCCATATATCAAAGGTGGCGGAAGTTCATGATGTTAGGAAGAAATCTTTTAGTGTTGTTAGCCTGACACTCTCCTACTCCCTTGCTGTGACATATATTTTTGCAAAGGTTCAAGAAATGGTGGCTGTTTGGTTGCTGCTATTTTTTTTCTGTATTTCCACCACTTTGAGGTTATGTCCATTATTATTTTTTAGATTCCTATGTTTTTCATACATTATAATGTGTTTCATTGTTTTAGTCATGTTCTGTCTTCTTCCGGGATAGAAGGCCATTGTCAGTAAAGAAATTAAAAGCTGTTTTAGTTTTCCTAGTGTGGAAAAACATGGGATAGCACACGAGATGCGTACTGCACTATGTTTATCATGGACAGGCTAAATCCTGGTGCTCCTTCTGAGTCAAAAGAAGACACCTTGAAAAGAGAATTTCACATTACTTGTGTTTTTAATTCTGGAATCAGAAAAATGGGCAGATGGTTGGGCATTGATCTGATCTTAGATTTTCCGTTTGGCCAGGTCCCTGGAGGGATCTCAATGATGAATGAGCTTGCAAGTTACTTTTCTTACTTATTGATGTCAAAATGCTTGCCTTTATATTAGGAAGTACATACTGTGACAACATACGTGAATGAGGAGAATGTTTTTCTTTTTGAAAAAGAGAGTTCTTGGCCCTTGTAGCTGGAGCCTTTGCAAATATGCCCTAGTTTACATCTATTCCCCATAGAACTTGCTGAGAGCAACTGACGTGCAGGGGTGGGGGTGAGAAATTACAGAACGTATTTTATCCACTTTCAGTGAGTGCCTCCCGCCAGTGGTTTGTGCCAGTCAAAAATGGGATACGGACCTTCCCTCAAATTAAAAAATGCAAGATATACCAGGAAAGGGAAGTGATGCAAGAGAAAGATCAGTAGTGAGGAGCTATATATTTATATTTACCTGGATCCAGACTAATCTTCTCATGTGCTGTTCTTTTTGGATGCAAATGATGCTTGGTGAGATCCAAATAAAGAAATGCAAGAATACATAACAAAATGGGACATGAAACACACATGTTATGTTTGTGAGCATAGGTTTGGATATACCACATGTAAAACATTCTGGGGTCTTTTTGTTTGGTTGTTTAGATACCACTTTAAGAACTGCATATTTGGGGGCATTGCCAATACCTGGTGGTCTTGGACTCCTGATATGGTGGTAGAATCCAAAGCATTCTTCCCTGTAGTTTGCAGTGTTGTTTCTGGCAAGCCTTCTTCCTCTTTTTGTTCATTGACTGTTGATGGAAGGCCCACTGGTTTTGCCATGGCTGCACTCCTCCTCTTAGAGGAAGATGCTACAGTGTTCCTCTTTGGTCAATCAGTCATGAACTATTGTGGGTGAGACAAAACTGCCCAGACACTAGCGAGTCAGTATTGATGCTAAGATGTGTTTGTATGTTGATTTTGGAGTCTAATGCTGTCGTAAGTGTTATGGCCTGTTTTAATTATGTTTTCCCATTATGACTTTTTGTTTGTTTTTAATCTGTTTGTCTTTTATCTGTTTTTAATCTTGTTGCGAGCTGCCAGTTCTGAGAGAAAGGCAGGTTGAGGTCAGATGGATAGATAAACTAGATTTCTCCCTCTCCCTTTTCAGTAGAGCTCATGGGACTATTTTTCTTATATGGAAATGAGTGACTGTCGTTCACTTGAATGAAAGAAAAATGTTCTGTTACTTTCAGAAATCTTGCTTAGTTGGGGTAAAACCTGATCTTGTTAACTGTGGGCTGACGATGTCTCCACCATAAGAACTGGGCCCAAGAGAGCAAAGGTTTACTTTCTGCTCTTAGAATTTGCCTTGATTTACTTACATAGCAAAAGCTTACTAGGCCAGGCAGGGGAGGGGTGAGGTAGTTTAATCAAGGCTTGCAGGATTGAGAGACGCTTCCACAGTTTGTTGAGCAGGGATGATGCCATCATTCGCAAACTCTCTCGGGCTTCCTTGTTCCCTTTGAGCTGATCCACGGTCGCCACAGTGGCTAGTGGGGAATGGGTTTCTCTGTGTATTTCTTGTTTGCCACCCTTTGTGTAACATAAATTATTTAGGGGTGTCTTTGTCTTGAATGGGCATTTAAGATTCACCAGCTTTACAAAATACTTGCTCCTGGTAGAAATGGAAACTGCAACAATGAGTGTGTTATGATTCTAGGCAGCTACCTGCTTTTTAAGACTTCACTGGGAAGATGTCGCTGTTGGGGCTGCCCTGATGATCATGGGGCTTCGGAATTTACCACTGCCTTATGGGTGGAGAGCCCCCATCCCTGCAGCCTAGTATTTTTGCAAAAAACTATGGGAAGGAAATGGGGTTTGTTTGGCCCCTGTTACCCTCACTGTACCTGAGGTACACTTTGAAATAATGTCTGAGGCTGGGGGTGTACAAGACTGGTTAATGCAAACATGTCGTGGTTTCATCTAAGCATGACACCTTAACTTCCCCCTCCAGCTTTGTGTATATGAAAGGTCTGATGGTCTTGAGTCTGTTTTCATGGTACTTGAATTAACATTCCTTCAGGGTATGATGCCATATAACCATGATTTCTACCAAGATCAGTAAAACTCAATGCATGGGTTCGTATATTCACATTTTGAATCTTAAACTTTACATGCAGTCACCAGTGAGCCATTGAATATTCCATGTTTGACTGTTTTGTTGTTGTTGTTGTTAGCGGCGGCTCTTTCTGAGTTTGGGCTGTCCTTATGAAACACTGCTTAATACCTATCAGAACATGTTAGGCACAAAACATGTGGTGCTTAGAGCAAACTGCCCTCCTTACTTGAGGTGAAGATACAGGGTACCTTAAAGCTAGCCAAATTGTTTTGACTCAAGGGTTTAAAAATCCCACAAATTCCTTTCATGATCTTTGCCAATAAAAAATAAAACAATACTCTGCTATGACATCCTGCTTCTAAAGCAGCCCTTCACTATACCTAATGGAAGGACCAACTCTGTATCAAAATGTCCTTTGTTAAGTCTTGGATCCAAAGCATAAGGTGTGGAGGGATAGCACTGGCATTCAAGATACAATAATGTTACATTAGCAACAGACTTATAATAGTGTCGGAGGATTTACTGTATTTAGAGAAATTAATCTTTTTTAGCTTGGTAATAATTCTAATAATAGGCATGAGTGCATTAGATGATTCGCATAAACTTCTTTAATACATGTTGCTTTAAGCTTACAGCAAATAGACACAATCCTGATTGTGTGTGTGTTTTTAATTCTCAGTGTAATACAGTTTCGTAACAGTCCTAAGTAGTTTACCTTTTTAGTTTTATTATGAAGACTGATAAGAAGATTTTCTATCCCCCCTGTTTTCTCCTCCTCCTTCATTTCATTATACAGTTTATTTGTAAAGTGCTGTTGGTCTTAAAGTAGTTAGCTAATACATATTGTCATTGCTGTGTTGTTTTAGTCATAGATCTATCTAGCTATTAAGATACATTTTCCTCCCCTTTCTGAATTAATATTTTCCCAGAAGAGGCTATATAGTGTACTTCCAATAATGAGTGTAGTACGCCATCAAGTTATA